GTTGGAACTTCCCTTGCCACAGCCTGTGACTACTGCCTCCAAGAGTCTGGGGTCATCTCCTCAACCACCACTCAAGTCAAGGAGCACAACATTCACTTGGTACCCTGAGCCACGCATCCCGTCACAGAAAGTAATCAGATGGTCAGATGAGATCTGCTTTTGGTTAATCCGTCCTCACTGTTCCCTTCTTACATCACAAGAGCCAGGAAATGGCTGTCAGGAGGATCTACTTCACAATCTTCCTGAAGGCTAAGGCTAGGCTGACCTGTCTGTCATCTCCCTACATCCTCCTCCTTGAAGACAGGTGTGACATTTTCTTTTTTCTAGTTATTGGGAGCCCTCCTGCCACCAAATCCACCACCTTTCGGAGACCATCCTCACAATGGCACCGGCCAGCTCCCCCTGACACATGCCCCGTGGTCTCACCGACTCGTGCACGGCCGGCTCACAGAACTGGCCTGCCCCAACTTGCTCTTCCTCAACCACAGACAAAGAAATGCCTCACTCCGTCAAAAGCGCATTGCTAGGCCTGGGGACTCGAGGAACCTGGAAACAGGCCTTGCAAATAAGGACTGAGCAACGATGTCGTCCTCAACCTTCCGACATTAGGTCTCCTATGCTATTCAGCATCAGGCCCACATTTTCCCTAATTGCCCTTTCACCACTGGCGTATCCACAGAAGCCTTTTGCACTGCCCTTCACATCCCTTGCTATCTCAACTCTACGTATAACCTCAGACACATCTGACTGCTAACATCCTTAACCGTGTTGTAAGTGGATAGAAAAAGAATCTTCTGCTAGTAGATTTCACTGGAGTTTCATTTCCCCAAATCCCAATACTGTAACATCTATATCAAAACAAATATTTTAAATCATCTTCAGCAGTCAGAGGACTGTGTGATTATTCTACACAACCACTGCCTCTAAAGGCTGGAAAACAAGGTTATCCAGTCTTTAGTAATTTGGTTATCTACGTTTTTTTTCAGAGGATGATGAATTAAAGCTACCATAACATGATTACCTTGTACTTTAATGAAGTGTAATCGAAAAAGTAATCATGAGTCCCTCACAAAAGAGCAGTAAATCCAGCTTAGTAAGAAAGAAAATCTGAAAAGACTGCTACACGCATGTCCACTAAGTAAGGTATCATACACCACATTAGAGAAAAATAGCTTAAACTGTCTAATATTTTCATATGAAACAGTAGGTCTATCATCCTCAAAGTTCCCTCAGTGTAATGCATAAAAACCCATCTGGTAACAATCACAAAAAATACCCAGCTTTATTTTAATAAACAGTTAAAAGGTATTGTGTGTACGCAGCCAACATTAACAACATTCCATGTTTTTACTATTCTATGAATCTGTTTCATTCATTTTGCAGCTTGTCCTGTACATAACACAGCTCAGACATAACCCTTTGAATTACACACTGGTCTGATCTAAGCAGTAAATTTTTACTAGAAAATTTCTCATCTTCTCATCCCCATACCATCCAAATACATGCAAAACTTACATAAATTTGCATTCCAAACATGAAAAGATGTTTGATTCCACTCACATGGCACTACTACAAAAGCTGCAACAGTGTAACTCCGATTTTAAGGAGGTGGAGACAGAAGGTAAGAGAAATGAGACTACACAATCAAATAACTATCAATGGCATGTGTATTTCACCCCTAAAAAGCATCTTTAATGCAAATTATTCCTCTATCACCCGTGAGGGACAGCAAAATTAAAGAACACCATGAGAGCAGAAAGATCAGTCATTTCTGAACAGAAAAATCAGACCTCAGTAGTACAGGTCAGGACCTTAATGATGATCTCCAAGTAATCAACTCCAAAAAGCCACTCCTTGATTTTCTGGCTTGTCTATGTCCTCTCTTTCCCCTCTTATGCCTTGTTTTTCCCTCTACTTTTTCTTTCTTCCTTTCCCATTTTCATGCCAAAATGAACAAGCTAACTTACTTTGGGAATGTTACCTTTTCCTTCCTTCCTGTTAGCTGCCAAGATCTGAAAGTACTTGTCCTGGTATCCCAACACACTGAAGGTCAGAGATAAGGTACAGATACAACACACTAGTCTGACAAGAAAGGTATTTGTTTGAGAAATGAATTGTTCTTCCAAGTCACAAGAATTTATCTAAATCAAAGCCACCGATGTTCAAAAGCCAAAAAAATCCTCTAACAAAATTATTAAAATGAAAAACAAAAAAAGTGTCCAACTTTACTTTTCAGCTTTTTTATTCTACTTGATTAAAGCCTGCTTTGGACACCATGTGCTTCTCTTGTCCTTACCCTTTCAATGTTTTGGAACGTTAAGGGGAATGGTCATTAATTAGCCTGTGAAGTTTTCTTGGAATTTTGTGGGGTTTTTTTTTTAATTCAACTTCATGTTCAAAACTTGTTGCAACAGATGTTTTCCAGAAGTATGCTTCACAGGACTATAATTACTGCCATTTTTCTTCAGAGGCTAAACGAATTTATTTATGAATTTGTGCTTTAAAATAAGTCAATTTGTCACGCTACAACAAACGGCAGCACTAACAAAGAGCTTATTAACTAAACCATGTCTATTTTTGAGGGACAAAAATAAATTCTGGACAAAAGTAAATAAAGACTGTGGCTGAAAAGAGGTTCTGCAGGAACTGGGCTGCATTCACCTAAACCGCA